TCTTTTTCCTCCCTCTTCCCCATCTGTCCCCCCTCCTCCCTCATCCATCCTCCTTACCCTTCCTCCCTCTCCCTCCTCCTTCCCTCCCTCCTTCCTTTCATGTGTCCAACATAGGTCAGGGTCAGAGAAACCAAATAGCTTTCAGATAAAGGATGAGCTGGTTTTCAGGGAGCCTCCTTGTTAGCTGCAGGGCAGGGGGGGAATCAGAGCCCAGGTGCTTGGAGAATTGGCTGCTAACTGAAAGGCAGGCTGATTGAATCCACCAGCGGTTCCAAGGGAGAGATGGGGTTGCCCTCGCCACAGACGTCCTGTCCTGGCCACAGGGGTCCACACCTCAGCGGCAGATGTGTTCAAGGCAAAGATGAATGCAAAGTTCCATTTGTTGAATCTCTTTGTTTGTTCACAGATACTTTGGGGATAAAATACAAACTGTCTTTTCAGAAGAGGACTTCCAGTTGTACCGGTGAGGGGGGTAGGGAGGCTTAGCTGTGTGAGGCTTGGTGGGGAGGGGGGGGACTGGAGGGGACGATGCATGGTGGCCACGTGAGATCCTTTCCCCAGGAAGTGAAGGGGAGAAGGCACTGCAGCCAGGTGGGGGGTGACCTGTGAGCTCACCCTGGTGGGGTGACCTGTGCGTGCCCCCTGGCTGGGCTCCTCAGGGCCAGGTGAAGAAGCCCAGGTTAGGGCACCACTTTGGCTAGTGAGGACCTGGAGGCAGGGTTGGGAGACAGGCCAAATGGTAGCTGTGTGTGAACAGATGGGGAAACTGGTGACCAGGACACTCCGGCATTGTGGGTAACATGACCGCTCGCCCTCGGCCTCCACTGGGGGACAGCACACTAGTCATGGTTTAGTTGTTTTCTGAAAACCAACTGTTTTCAGGCAATCTTGCTGTTGGAGCCTTGTTGTTGAGGTGCAGGTAGCGGGTCCCCTGACTCCTGCAGCCCTCAGTGTCCACACCCCCCAGCGGCCAGCTCAGTGGTGCCACCCAGATCACAGTCCCTGACGCTGACTGCACCCCTTCTCTGCTTGGCCTCCCACCTCACTGTATGAAGTGTGTGCCTGAGAGTCAGTGAGTGTCCTTGTGCCTGTGTGTGTGAGAGTGTGTGTCCATCTCTGCATGTGTGTTAAGGTCTATACAGTTTTTCATTTAACTTTTTTTCTTACCATGATTTGAGTGAAAGTTTATAGAGTAAGTTGGTTTTCCTTTCAACCATTCGTATTTACTTTATTTACGACATTAATGGCAGTACTCACGGTGTTTACTACAGTCCGCACAACACGCACCCTTGGCACGCTCCCGCTCCTCCTCTGGGATTCTTGTTTCCTTTCTTCTTCTGAGCTTTGTCCCTGAGCAGAAGCTGCCCTTTTGAGCACGTGGTTGGCTGTTCCGCGGAGGGTGTGCTTCCCTGTTGACCTCATGGGCCTGTCAGCGTTTGCCTGCAGCTGGGTTACTGGGCTCAGCTCCTCTCCAGGTTGCGTTCTCCAGTGGTCCACGTGCCTCTTCCAGACTGGTCACCACTGGGTCCCTTGCTGCTGCCTTTCAAGGCTCCTCCCCTTCCGCCACCCTGACCCTTAACCGCCCAGGGGTGTTCAACCAGGAACCATGTTGCCTAGAAACCTGGCTGACATTTCACCCTTATCCCATTTCCATGGAAACAGAGCAGAGAGAAGCCCAGGCTCCTGGTCCAGAGAGAAGGTGGGGGAGTTTGGGCGAACTCTCTGCCTGCTTTAGCCTCTGTGGCTACTCTAGCAGGGGTGCCTCCACTGGAAGTTAACAAGACCTCAGGGGAGCTCTGGTGGCCTAGTGGAAAAAGCTGTGCTGCAATCCTGAAGGCACATGGTTCGAATCCACCAGATGCTCTGCTGGAGGTGGGGCAATCTCCTCCTGTGCCAGTCAGATCAAACTATGCCATAAACAACAAGAAAAAACAAAACAAAACACTGTTAACCATAGAATCTCCTTCACCCCTTAGTGACTGGAGCCCACAGCCAGGCTGTCAGCTCTGGGGACACCCTCTCCGCGGCTCTGGGAAGGGCTTGTCCTCCAGCCCCTTCAAATGTCAGATCCTCACTTGTGTTGATCCCGTGGGCCTGGAGGGAATGGAGGCTGAGCCAAGACAGCCGTGTGCACGAGGACCGAGCTGGACTGTCCTGGGGGGCCTCGCTGTGGTGCTGGGCCCAGGCTCTGCCTAGGCTCCAGGCAACTGTCAGATACTTGACTTGACTCAGGGTGGTCCTTGCTGCTACTTCTGGGGGTGGGTGAGGCTGTGAGACCCCAGATAACACCTAGTCCTTTCTCTGTGATGGAAGAGCCAAGTGGGGTGGGAGGAGGCACAGTGAAGAGCGGCATGCTGGGAGGCCACCTGCAGCCTGGGGACACAGACGCCAGGACGTGCTGCTCACCTTTCCACAGGACTGAGTCGTTTCTGTGATTACGGGGCTGAGTGGGTGCCTAGGATGAGAGCGGCTGAGCAAGACGAGACAGGCAGGACAGAGTCACGGCTTGGAGAGGGGAAAATGCTGCCTGGTGGTGTGCGGACGCACACTTGCTTGAGCACATTTTGAAAAGTCTCATTACCTTATAAATGTAGCTTTTGGGTTCTTTCCATTTATTGAACCCTGAAACATGGCAAAATGCCGATATCCATATTTGAAAGTGAACAAACATTAAGCCAACTAAGTAAATGACACTTTGATGTGTCATTTGCATGACGTTGTTGGCAGCAGACACAGTGATTGCACACGGATTAAAGGGCTGGGAACAATTTCTATTATAGCAGCAGTTCCAGGAGCATCACCACTGGTGTTAGGATGAAGGTACAGGTACTGAGGGTGCAAAGTCACCTAGTGGCCATCATGTTAGGAGGACACCGGTCACTGAAGTGTCCTGTGAGAAGGGCAGAGCCAGAAACAGCAATGTCCAGCTTGGAGATGGTGGCCGGCTACAGGCTGCGCACGTGTTACTCTGTGAGGTCCCAGCGGCCAGCCTGGCTCCCACGTGTGCTCCGATGGGCTTGCTGTGCCACCTCCACAGCTCCTTGGTCTCCTCTGGGCCTCTCATTCCAGGGCTTCCACCCATCATCTTCCCTGTTGGGTTAGCATTCGGAACCTCTTGGAATTTAAAATTCAAGCTTTGGCTGAATTGGTTTGAAGTGGTTTGGGGCTCTGATGTAGGTAGACAGTGGCACATGTGTGTGTGTGTGTGTGTGTGCGTTGCACGTGTGCATATACGTGTGTGTGCATGTAAGGATGTTTGTACGTAGATACAGTTAAACTCAGCAAATGCCGACTTTGTCTTCATTTCTACAGACAGTAGGAGGTCAGCTTCCTAGTCTTACATTTAGTGTGCCGTCTGTGCAAGGTTGTTTTATGTGTGTGCGCATCAGTATGTGTGTGGTTGTGTACCTTTGAGTCAGAACCGGCCTAGAGCTGACCCTCCAGTGGGTTTTGAGAGAGAATAAATCACAAAGGAGGGAATTCATCTTCGGGCAGAACAGCTGGTGGATTCGAACCATGTGCCTTTGGGATTGCTCAGTTTCTTACCACTAGGCCACCAGAGCCCCCTATGTATGTGTGTAAGCACAGTATATGTGTTTATGTTGGTACACATGTATGTGGATACGGATATGACTATATATGCATATGTGTACATGTGTGGACCCATGGGCTTGCATGGGTATGTATGTGCATATGAGTGTATGTGTACACAGGCATGTGCACATGTAAATACATATGTGAGTGTGTGTGCTTGTGTACACATGCACGGATGGACTTGTTTACATGGGTACATGTGAGTGTGCATGTATTTATATGTGTATGTGCACACCAGTGTGGCTGTTTATGTGTATGTTAATGCATGTGAACAGAAGTATTGAATAGGCATACGTGGCGTGTGCGTGTGTGTGTACTGTGTGCACATGAATTCCTGACACACGGATGAGCACAAGTAAGTGCACACATGTGTATGTAAATGTATATGTGTCCATATACCTCTCTGTGTGTATGTGTGTATATGTACCTGGTGCCTGTGTGTGTATATATGTCCATGCATGTGCATACATGTGCATGTGTCAGCCTGCATGAATAAATCAGTGTATTTGCGTACATTTATGTACACGTGCACATGTTCATATGTGTTTGTTAAGTGTATGCAATTTTCCATGCATATGGGTATGTGATTGTATATGTGTGTATTCGTGCATGAACATCTGTGTAAGCTTGTGTATTTGTGTGTCTGAATGTACAGCCAGGATATATGTGAGCATGTATGTTGTTGTGCATGGGTGTAAGCATTTATGTGCACATGTATCTGCCTGTGTGTATGTGAGCTATCTGTGTGTGAGCATGTGTACGTGTGCGTCTGTCTATGTGCAGGTATGTGAGCAAGCATATGCATGTGTGTATCTGTTGGTATGGATGTGTGCATAGATGTAAGCACACACGTGCATGTGTATCTATGTGCACACACGCGAGCATGCCTGTGCACACACGCGAGCATGTATGTGCATGTATCTATGTGCATACATGTGAGCGCATCTATGTGCACACGTACGAGCACATGTGTATCTACGTGCATACACGTGAGCATGCCTGTGTGTATATCTATGTGCATACATGTGAGCATGTGTGCGCGTGTATATACATACATGTGAGCATGTGTGTTTGTATATACACGTGCATACATGTGAGCATGTGTATCTATGTGCATACATGTGAGCATGTGTATATATGCATACATGTGAGCATGTGTGTGTATATATATACACGTGAACATGTGTATCTATGTGCATACACGTGAGCATGCCTGTGTGTATATCTATGTGCATACATGTGAGCATGTGTGCGCGTGTATACACATACATGTGAGCATGTGTGTTTGTATATACACATGCATACATGTGAGCATGTGTATCTATGCATACATGTGAGCATGTGTATCTATGCATACATGTGAGCATGTGTGTATATATATATACACGTGAACATGTGTATCTATGTGCATACACGTGAGCATGTGAGTGCATCTATGTGCATACATGTGAGCGTACGTATGTATGTGCACACGTGTGCATGTGTGTCTCTGTGCATACATGTCAGTCCTCTGTGAGCATGTGTGTGTATGTGTGTCTCTATGTGCACACATGTGAGCATCTGTCTGTCCTCTGTGAGCATGCATGTACACGTTTGACTATGTGGTATGTATCTAGCAGCTTTGTGTGTGTGTATCTATCTCTGTGTGAGTGTGTGTATACGTTTGTATCTCTGTATATATGTGACCAGGTAAGTGTGAGCATGTATATGTATGGACACACCTGTGGTGGTCTGATCATGTGAGACATGTGTCTAGATGCCTCTTCACCGTCCTGGCATTCCCTATGCGTTCCTTTCTTTGCTCGGCCATAGGGACCATGGGGACCCTCTCCAGGGTGGCACTGCCCAGGTAATGGTGTGTCCCTCACTGCAGGGATGTGCGGCAGAGAGTGCAGCTGGCCATCGCGGAAGCCTTCGGCATCAGCGCGTCCTCACTGCACCTGACCAAGCCCACTTTCTTCTCTCGGATCAACAGCACAGAGGCTCAGACGGCCCATGACGAATACTGGCACGCGCACGTCGACAAGGTAGGCGTTCTGGGCTGCAGACGGGCCGGGCTTGTGCGTAGGCGTCAGCTTCAGGTCACTTCTCTGCAGTGGTAGGTTTTGGGGCCCTCCCTGCTGTTTTCCAGGAGACTCTAAATCTGACCACTGCCAGAGAGAAAATAAAAATCATTGTGTGCGGGTGGCGAGAAGCCACCCTGAAACACGCCTCGTGCCAAGTGGCGGCACAGTCACTGTCATTTCTGCAGCTTTTGTGGAGTGTGTGGGGACGATGTGACACTTGCCCCGCCAAGCCTCTCCTGACCACTGGCCCCTGTGTGTGGAGGCTGGCCGTCACTCTGCCCCGTCCCTCACCTGGCTGCTTCTTGGTGTTTTCCTTGACAGCAGCCCCAGGTTGAGTTGTGAGTCTGGGCTAAGAGCTAAAGAATGGTGGGGGATCTGAGAGCCGCAGCTCTAACGGTCATGCCCGCAGGCTCTGCATCCTTCATGCCTTGAGAGGCCACAGTTTCTCACCCACCGCCACTCCCACTGGATTCACCAGTGGTCTTGATTGTCCTCTCATTGAATCCTGTCCCCATGGGCACTGCTCTAGCGAGGCTAGTGGTCAGGATGGTGTCCAGTGGCCCATTGAGGAAATTATCCTGAGGGACATGATCAAGGTGTTGTGGACCACCCAGCTGTGGACTTGCTAAGGCCTTTCTGTCTCTGAACGCTGGAACAAAAGAAGCAGGAGACAGAGCCTGACTGAGGCCAGCTTTGAGCCAGTGGCTGCCTGGGCATCTGCTTGGGCATCTGTGAGGTGGACACAGTGGGTTCCAGGTGCCCGCCTTCCTGTGGTGGGAGGTGCAGGGCCATGCAAAGATGGATGTTCACCAGGAAGGATTACAAGGTGTGTCAGTCTGGGCAGGATGTCCTTGGAACTGAGCACCTGCATCCATTAAACAGTGACCTCGCTGGACACTTCTGTCCTTCCAGTTGAGGGCCAGACACTGCTGGGGAGATGGGCAGGTGGAGGCCAGTGTGTGCTGGACTGTCCACCATGGGCCAGGGCCACTAGCTATCTTTTCTTCCTGACCTTCCTTTCTCTTTGCGTTAGAGCCATCACTAGACCTTCAACTCTCCCTGCTGCCTCTCGCACCCCCTCACTGTCGCCCCCTCTCCCAGAGGGACTGCATGTTGAGGTCACACTAGGGACCTGTAGCCCTTGAACTTCTCATTATTTCTCTCAGCCCAGACTCTCTAGCTGAACGATCCACAGGCCTGGAAGAGGTTGTTATGTGATTGAAATTCCTTGTACATCACTGACTTTGCATGAATCGGATATCACTTTCATATTTCTTTTATTCACTAGGTCCTGGTTTGTGTGAGCATTATGTAACATTCAGTGGATTTGACATCACCCTCTTTTCAGGTTATACACTATTCAGCTCTGCATCAGGATCTAAATTTGATTTGAAATCACTTCTTAAGAAGCATCACATTTAAAGCAGGTCCTTTGTACGCGCCCCTTACTGTCAGTGTGTGTGAAGACCCACGTATGATGTGTTTAGTGCGTGGCTGTCTTCCCTCTGTGGATTTTTGTTTTTAGGAAACAGATAAGAAGACTGTGACATCAGAGTTGGAGGATGACTCATCAGCTAGCGTCATGCAGATGACATAACCTTGCTTGCTGAAAGTGCAGAGTATTTGAGGCATTTGCTGCAGAAGAGTAAAGACTATGGCTGTCAACATGGATTGCATCTCAACATCAAGAAGACGTAAGTTCTTAGGAGCTCTGGTGGCCTAGTGGCAAGAAGCTGCACTGCAATCCCCAGAGGCATGTGGTTTGGATCCATCAGATGCTGGAGAAGGAGGGGCAATCTCCACCTGTACCAGTCAGATCCGATTTGATGGTACACACACACAAAATAATAAAATAAAAAAGAAAACAAGTTCTCACCACTGGCCAATAGGCAACATCATGACAGAGGGAGAAAAGATTGAAACTGTCAACTACTTCATCTCACTTGGACTCACAGTCAACACACAAGGTATCAGCAGTCGAGGCCAGGAGACATTTGCTCTTGGAAAACCTGCAGTCAGGGACTTCTTCAAATTACAGAGGAGCAACAATGCCAGTCTGAAGACCAAGGTGTGCCTGATTCTGGCCATGGCTTTTCATTCACTTGCTACACTAGTGAGGGCACTGAGTATCCCGTGGACTTGCAGAAGAATAGACAGATGTGTCTTGGAGAAGGTGCAGCCAGAGTGCTCCGCAGAGGCAAAGATTAATCTCACATACTTTGGGCAAGTTGCTACAAGAGTCTATTCCTTGGGGAGGAACATCATGCTAGGGAGGGTGGAGGGACGGTAAAAGAGAGGTAGACCTTCAACCAAGTGGACTGATGCTGGACAGCAGCAGTGGCTTGAGTGTGTCGGATGATGAAGACGGCACAGGGCAAGACAGGGCTCAGATCAGTTGTTCATAGGGTCACTATTGGTCATATTTAACTTGACAGCATCTGACAACAACAATCTGAGGAACACAGGGATAAAATAAGAAAAACAGCCTCAGAGACCCATGAGGAATCATCCAGTGAACCAACATATGCATAATGGGAGGACTGGAAAGAAGCAAGAAGAACAACTGAAGAAATAACAGCTGAAAACTCAACTTGATGAACCTTATCTACACATCCAAGAGCTCAGTGAACTCCAATAAGATCAGTTCAACCCTTGTTTTTGAAAGAAGACAAAGAGAATCTTGCAAACATCAAGAGATAAGTGACTTGTCACATGCAAATTGTCTTCCATAACGTCTGACTTTTCATCAAAAAAGGCAGAAAACAGTGGGACCTACACATCAAACCACTGAAAGAAAACGGAAAACAAAACATTGTCAGCTCACAGCTGTACATGAGTCACACTGTTGAATGTGAGGGAGAGCACTGGGGCCGTGCTGGAGCAAGTGTCAGCAGGACAGCCCTGCTCCACGTCGCGTTTGCTCGTAGTCACTGCTTGTGAATCCGTGGCAGTCCATCTCCGGAGGGCCTCCTCTCCACGGTGCATCCTTTCCCTGTGAGCTCAGCAGGACAGGCTGACCTTGTCCCGTTGTTCTTCCCTGACTGGACTTCTCAGACACTGAGGCTCTGGGGTTCCCACCTGCAGCAGGTATGCCTATTTCCCAGCAGGCTGTGCGCCTGTACCGAGTCTTGACTGCAGCTCCTGTTCCCCTTCCTGTGTGACCATTTGTGGGCCTTGAGTCGTTGCTCTGTGCTCTTGTCCAGGTTCCTGATCATCAGCAGAGCTGGCCGTGTCTGTGGTGACCCTCCGCGATGTGGCTTTGAAGGGAGACTTCAGGGCACCAGGCAGTGGAGGCACACAGAGGTCTGGGATCATGCTCAGATCTCATCTCTGTGGCTGTTATGACACCGACGGCTGGTGCGGCACTGGATTGCTCTGGGAGCCATGTCCTTCTTAGTGACCATAGTGGTTGACTGGACCCGAGTGTCTCTTTCATTTTCTGAGGATTCCTCTGTGGTATTACAAGCTTGTCAGGATGGGTGCAGGGAGCCGCCCTCTCACCTGATCACCCCTGCCTTCCCAAGCCCACAGCGAGCTTTGCTGGGCCAGGTGAGGCTGTGCTGGGCTGGGCTAGGCCTTGGAGCCAAGGCACCTGCCACCGAAGATGTTTGCATCAGTGAAATAGAGCAATTTAACACCTGGCAAGTGGGTGCTTCTCTGCTGGGAGCACTTCTGTTATAACTTCCAGCTGGTTCACTTGATATTAAATAGAACTGTGTTTTGGTGTTTTCTTTTGTTGGGTTTTTTTTTCAAATAGAACTGTTTTGAATAAAGAATGTGTTCCATGCACACCCATGTTCATCATGGCTTTGTTCACAATAGCAAGGAGCTGGAAACAACGTAAGTGCCCTTCAGCAAACAAATAGATAGAGAAGCTGTGGTATATTCGCACAATGGAATACTACACTGCATTGAAAAACAAGGGTGACCCTGGAGGACATTATGCTAAGTGAAGTATCTCAGTCACAAAAGGACAAATACTACATGGTGCCACTGTTGTAAAACAGGACTGACCTCAGAGTTAGGGGGAGACTGAGAAAGATGGGTTCAGTAATGTATATTGCATTGAAACAGATGAGGGAGAAAACTGTTTGAAAGAGATAAGTTACTAGGTATTTTTGTCATGACAGGAGTCCAGAGCTAAGGCTGCACAATGGAGTGGACCTGGGGGGAGGGTTTGTAAAACAATGAAAAAATTTTTCTTTTACTTTTCCAAGAGGGTAGTGTACCAAGGGCAAGGGTTGGGAGGGGAGAAAAGTGCAACGATGAATGAATGGAAATACAAAGTCTCTGTAAATTTTCATGGAAATTAATAATAAATATTTTTTTAGAAAAGATTGTGTTCTATTAGGTTAAAAAAATGAAAATGAAGTGAAATGGAAACAAGGCAGACAGTCAGGGTCTCCAAGCCCTCACCTGTGGCTCCCTCACCTGCCCGGGACAGCCCTGAGGGTCTCACACTTGCACAAACAAATGCGTAAAAAATACAGCATTCTGTTATCGCGAGTTACCGTCTCCTTTTCTTGTTCTGTGAATTAGTGCGAGTGATGACCACTTGGATGAGAAGCACAGTGCTGGTCCTCTCCTGTCCTCACACAAAGCAGGGTGTCCTGCATGCTCTCATCTCACCTACGACCTCCTGGGCTCCCCCCAAAACAGTCTGAGCCAAGGACTCCGTGTGGGAGCGTTGTAATGAGGGACCACAGAGAGGCGGGCGGGCGCCTGGACCAGGCTGCACACGCGCTTTTGTTGCTGCATCAGGTTTCCTTGCGTTAGTTGATGCTGAACAACTTGTGTTGACCTTGGACCAAGACAGATTGATGATGGACAGTTTGTGTTGATGTGGACTGTGCAGGACTGGTGCTGGGCAAGTCATGTTGCTGCTGGACAGGTCGTGTTAAGGATGAATGATAGGCCTTTTTATACGGGACAGGGTGTGCTGATATTGGACAGTTTGTCCAGACATGGAAGGACTTGTGTCGATGTCACACATTTGTGTTGATAATGGGCAATTTGTGTTGCTGTTCAGTGAATTGTGTTGATGTAGTACAGTTTTTGTTGATTATGTGTAGATTTTGTTGATGTTGGACAATTTGTGTTAATTATGGACACTTTCCAGGGAAGGGATCTCCTGTGGCTTGGTAGGAAGGAGTTGCACTGCCAACCCAGGGGCACATAGTTCAAATCCAGCAGTGGCTATGTGCGAGAGAGATGGCCATTCTTCCAGCAGTTTACTGCCATGAAAACCCACTGGAGTGTTGGCTACAAGTCGGTCCTGACTTGGTGGCACATAACAACAACGTAGATAATCTGTGTTGAGGAGGGACAGCCTGGGTCGATGATTGACAATTTGTATCAGTGTGGGACAGCTTGTATTGTATAATTTGTGCTGATTTAATGACTTCTGTTGGCACTGGAAATTTTGGTTATTATTTGTTTTAATTATGGACTTTTTTTACGTTCAGCGATTTGTTGATGTTGGACAATGTATATTGATGTACTGTTTTTGTTGTTGGACAGTTTGCATGGATTATGGACAATTGGTATTTTCATTTTGGATTGATGCTGGACAATTTAAGTTGATATGAGACAGTTTGTAGTAATATTGGACAATTTGTGTTGACATTGAGTAATTCGTGTTGGTGTCAGGCAACTTGTGTTGGTGTTTGATGATTCTCGTTGATGTTGAACGACTCACGTTGAGCAGTTTATGTCACTGTTGAATGATTTGTGTGTTGAAGTTGACCAGTTTACGTTGATATGGAGGATTGGTGTTGATGTTGGGCAGCCTGACCTGTGAATGGACCACTTATGGTGGTAGAACCGTGAGAGAATCTGTGACTCCATGTGGATTTCTCCTGGATACTGACTTCCTGTTTTCTTGGCTTGAACGCCCTGAAGTTAGGTTAACTTTGTGGGAAATCCTCAGTACCGGTGCACAGTCTATGGGCTCCTCAGGGCTTTTGAACGTGTGAGGACAGTGGGTGATCTGATTGATAAGGCACATTTGTTTGCTAACCTTTGGGAAATGCATCGTCTAGAAGCAGCGTCCCCTGCCTTGTGCTGGGAATCCTGGCTTTGTGCGTCAGCAAGTCTGACTTGCCCGCTCCCTGTGGTCCCCAGGTGACCTACGGCTCTTTTGACTACACCTCGCTGCTCTACCTATCTGACTACATGGAGGACTTTGGTGGAGGACGGTTTGTGTTCATGGAGGAACGAGCCAACAAGACTGTGGAGCCGAGAGCTGGTAGGACACGGGCAGGTGCTGGCTGGGTGTGGGGTGCAGGAACATGGCTTGTCCATTCTGAGGCCATGACACACCTGTAGTGCTGGTGGGAGGTGCTTCACCTCAGAGCCCGAGTGATGATGTGCCCCTTTGAAAGGTGTTCGTGTCCCGGCCCACGTGGCTGTGAGGGTAACCTTGTTTAGAAATAAGGTCACTGCTGACATAAGTTAATATGAAGTGACATGGGAGTAGCGGCCGGCCGCTGCCACCTGCCCTCTGACTGCAGGGAATCTCCGTCAGGTCTGTGAAGTAGTGAATCTTTACAGGAGACTGCCCGTCTTTGTCCCACCGAGCACCCAGTGGATTGGAACTCCTAACCTTTCAGCAGCTAGAGTCTGACATGCTAAGCGCTGCACCACTGGGGCTCCTTCAGTACAGTGGGGTGGGTTCCAATACAGTCTGACGGTGTCCTTACAAAAAATGAGGAGTGACGCAGACACCGGCTTCATTGTCTCCAGACAACACGCATCGTCGGTGAACCAGAAGCTCACCCAAGCCATGGTGCCAGGGCTTGATCTGGAGGTCAGTCTTGTAGGCGTGGCTGACCGTCCAGGTCACTCATCTTCATGTCTGCGTCCTCCAGAGGCGCACCAGACATCATGTCGTTGGTGTGGATGCTATGACTGTAGACAGAAGCAGACCTTCTCCACTGGTAGAGCATCCCAGCAGCTGAGCGTTCTCGCCCGGAATGTAGCCAGCCCGTCCTCTGGAATGCACAGGGTTCAGATAGCGGAGCTGACCCTTCTCCATGCAGCCTTGCACCTCCGGGTTCTCTTTGTTTTAAGTTTGCATCTTTTGTTTTGTGAGTCTCAAGAATTAGATGGGACTCAGGTTTCTGATTCAGTGTATGGAGAACTCAGAAGCCATCACTCTTGTCCTCACCCAAAGAAAAAATCTGAACAAAAGGTGTCAGTAACCCTCTTTAGAGCCACCAACAGGGTCTGGTCACAGGGCTGCCTTCCTGACTGGTGGTGGATGCGGAGAACCACAGCTTGCCCTGGGCGGGAGCGGAGCCCTGGGGACAGCACGGAGGAGCACCTGCACCGTAATCAACCGACTGCACACTTAGAGGGTTGGGGTGGGCATCTCAGGGCCTGTGACTTGGAGTTTGGACAACCCCTCACCCCAGGTTCTCACTGTGAAGTTCTGAGAAAATCCCTTGTGCTTCAGAAGACATTCGGTCCTCTTCCAAGATCTTCCCTGAGAGAACCTACCTTACCATTCAACCCCCACAGCCTCGCTGCCCTTCCCATTCCCCCTCACAGCTGGGAAGGACATGTCAAGAACCATTTGTGATGGCCACACCTGGGGGCATGGGCTCACAGAGTGACCCAAACCCAACACAGGATCCTGCGACTCTTCCCTTTACCACTCTGGTGTCCCAGCTATAATCCCAGCATCCCAAGGCTCCAGTGTGGGAATAGGGCTACAGGCAGACGCCAGGGGAAGAATGTCTCATTTAAGTACCACCCATAGGTGCCAACCAACCCCTGGAAAAGCCTATTAGATTGAAACTTCAAGGGAAATGCTTTGATTCCTTTTAACAGATGGTGCTGAGTGATGCGCGTCACTACAGCAACACAGCCTCCAACAACCACCACTGAACACAGCCTCCAACAACCACCACTG